GCTAAAATTAAGATTTTGGTCAATCTTTGAAGCTCTATAACTGACAAAGCAGGATGTTGTTTTCCTTCAATCTTTGTAGGGTAGTACATACATGTATTGTGTATCAACTGAATGCTTGTGGAGGTTGGCGTTTTGTTTCGATGCTGTGTACTTGTCTCTGAAAGTAGGCCATATTTTGGACATGTGCTGAAATTATCGTTTTTGGCTAACTTTAAAGCTCTATAACTGGCAAAGTAGGATTTTATTTCAATTCAATCTTTGTAGGGTAGTACATACATGTATTGTGTATCAAATGCATGCTTGTGGAGGTTGGCGTTTTGTTTTGTTGCTGTGTACTTGTCCCTGAAAGTAGGTCATTTTTGGACATTACAGAAATTAGCATAATATACGGCTGTGTTTGAAGCTATAGAAATGACGATGTAGGATTTTATTTCAATTCAATCTTTTAAGGGAAGTACATATATGCATTTTGTATCAAATGAACTTATGGAGGTTTGGGGTCTTGTGTCATTATTGTGCACTTGCCCCTCAAAGTAGGCCATATTTAAGCACATACCGGTCTGCGCTTGAAGCCCTATAAACGTCAAGGTAGGATGTTATTTGAATTCAATTTTCTAGCAGAAGTAACTTTATCTATTGTGTATGAAATGAAGGCCTACAGAAGGTGGGTTCTTGCGTAGTTGCTCTGAACTTGTCCCAAAAAGTAAGCCATAATTAGGACATATTCTATTGTTTCCTTGTAGCTGTACCCGAAATTAGGAAATATTGCTCACGTTTCTATATATTATATAAATAGTTCTGTGTCGTTTGAACATTTGAAAAAAATTCTCTTTGGTTCAAAATTTGAAAAACCAAATCATGTGTCTTCGGTGTTTTATTATTTTCAACACAAATCTCCCTAGTGTGGTTGCTCACATTCTTGAATCTTTATGAAATGTCAAAGGGATTAAAACAATGATTTGTTTTTGAATAAAAGGGATTTTTTTCAAATGTTCAAACGACACAGAACTATATAATTATATAATATATAGAAACGTGAGCAATATTTCCTAATTTCGGGTACAGCTACAAGGAAACAATAGAATATGTCCTAATTATGGCTTACTTTTGGGGACAAGTACAGAGCAACTACGCAAGAACCCACCTTCTGTAGGCCTTCATTTCATACACAATAGATAAAGTTACTTCTGCTAGAAAATTGAATTCAAATAACATCCTACCTTGGCGTTTATAGGGCTTCAAGCGCAGACCGGTATGTGCTTAAATATGGTCTACTCTTAGGGGCAAGTGCACAATAATGACACAAGACCCAAACCCCCATAAGTTCATTTGATACAAAATGCATATATGTACTTCCCTTAAAAGATTGAATTGAAACTAGAAAGGCCAATATTTGCTTTGGAGCAAATACAGCGATGGGTTCACCACATTTTACGACATGGCAGGGAAAGAATGAGAAACACAAGGGAAAACAATGATTTGCATTGATATAACTATAATATGAAGTAAAATACAACTAAAACAACGGTTGGATAGCTATTCCCTACTTTATTGGTTAGGATTTTTAATTGCATAATGCAAACTGTTGATTTTCAAAATAAAAAAAAAACGTCCATGCCCCGCATTCCAATGCTGGAGCAGGAAAGCTTGA